GAGTGTGAGCAGCATGGTGCTCAATGCTGTGTGAGTACTACAGCAGCTGTTTCTCTACTCATGGGATCTGGCCAAGGAATATGCAGGGGAAATGGACATCTGCTTTATGTGAAAATAGAACGATCCACACACCCTCGCAGACATGTGGGAGGGGAAAGACTGTGCACTGATACTGTCTGCACAACACTGTTCAGATGCACATTTCTCTTTGCATGTTTTAAGACATACATTTATGAAACATGTAGTTTACTGTAAATGTTGGACACTGAAAGTGCATTTTCTAACCACAATGTTGTTATTGTCCACTATATTATGTTAATGCCATATGCAAAATGCATTCTAGCCATTCACGTCTTGATTATTTCTTAATTTTAAGATTCAATTGATTGATTTGACCTGCTTATTAAAGACTCAGTAAATCATCTTGAAGGGGTCAAGCGGCGACACATAGCCTATACCCCTCATCTATTTATATGCTTCTCTGAAAGGAAATGAAACCCTTTGACCTTTCTGTCAAAACACATGTTACTACCAACCAACTGGCTACAAACAACTGGCTTTCCCTCCACACCCAACACAGGGGACGTAAAAACCTGAGTGCATGGTTTTGTTAGTCCATGTGCGCAATGACTCAGAAAATAAATAATGCTAATGTTATACTACTGAGCCCTGCAACATTCAAAGTGTCATCGCAGTCATCGTTTTGCAAGAAATTCTTTGCACTCCAAACTCTTAGTTTTGAGTCTTAAACAAGTCATAATACATTCTGCACCAATTTTTACCTGCATGTGCATACTGAAATGTGTTTTATTTTTTACCACCACCAAAGACTAGCCACTATCCATCAGAATTCCTGAGAATTAACTTCTGACTAAAAATGAATGTCACAGTTGTACAAGTTTCTCTCAAAAGTAGCAGAAGCAGACTCATCTTTTCTGACGTAATTGTCTCCCTGGGTTCTGTCTGGTAGGCGGTCGGGTTCTGGAGATTGGTTTCGGCATGGCCATCGCTGCCACCAAGATGGAGTCTTTTCCCATCGAGGAGCACTGGATCATTGAGTGCAACGACGGCGTCTTTGCCAGACTGGAGAACTGGGCCAAGTCTCAGCCACATAAGGTCAGTAAAGGTCAATATTATTAGCAGGTATTGGTTTATTACAGATGTTTTGTTGCACTGCATGTTTGCACATCTAGGTTAGTGTTACTGTCCTTAAAGATGTGTACAATGTGTGGTTATGTTTGTGCAGGTCGTCCCCCTGAAGGGCCTTTGGGAGAACGTTGTTCCCACTCTGCCAGATAACCACTTTGATGGTAAGAAATCAAACCAGACAGCGTTATTAAACACCACAAGACGGTCCAACCATTTCTTCCCTTTATGCTTTCTTAAAAATCTGATGGAGTATCCGTTACCACATCAGGGTAAAAAAGTACTGCCCCGGTTTGGTCACTCAGTTTAAGTTATTGATTGCTGAAAGTCAGTGTGAGGTTGCATAATCCATTAAAGATTCCATAAAACTTCAGCTACTGGTGCACGAGATGTTGATGAACACACTGAGACATTATCCATTTCACCTATTTGACGTATAAAAGGGAACCAATCAAATGAATGCAGTCTACTAAAAATATGTCTCTCTTCTCCCAGGTATCCTGTATGACACATACCCTCTGTCAGAGGAGACATGGCACACTCACCAGTTTGACTTCATTAAGGTAAGTAGTTAAAATGTACATAAAACGATACAGTACTGTACATTACAAAACGTCCTGAAAGGATTAAAATACTGAAGGAGAATAATCACTGGATTGTTGGAATTGCTTGCATGTAAAGTGGATAAAAGCCACTCATTTATAGTTCACATTTCAATATACAGTCGTAATAATTACATTCTGATAAAAGCTGAAGTAAATGTTTTTTAATAACATTAAAATTCAATGATCTTTGAATATTATAGATACAGCAGGTCAGAAAAGCATTTGGCAACATCGTGAATATGATTGTTTAAGTTGCAAATATAGAAATAAAAAACTAATTGAGAAGCAGTATTAATACATTTAGTGTTAATATATTGTGTGGTGCACATACTGGAGTCTTCATATCCCCGGTTTAATTGATTCTTTCCGGGTGTCTCTGCAGGGTCACGCTCACAGGCTGCTGAAGTCCGGCGGCGTCCTCACCTACTGCAACCTGACCTCCTGGGGAGAGCTGCTCAAGACCAAATACGACAACATCGTCAAGATGTTCGAGGTTGGTCAGCTTCTTAACTCCTCGAGGACAAGACATTTAACTAATCAAAAACTGTATAACTTCTGTTTTCTGCACTGTGCGTGGTCCTCTTAGTTGTGATTTGCTTCCGTTGCTTGGAATGTGTATGACAACAGAAATGTTTAATGTGTCATATTTATCTATCTGTGAGTGTTTCTATCAAGGTTGTTCTGAGTACAACCTGAATTACATGTTGCAATCGTTTCAAGGTTAGCGATAAACAGCCCTGCCGGCCTCCACACACTGACCAGCGCTGTCTGTTAATGATTTTCAGGAGACCCAGATGCCTCATCTAGTCCAAGCTGGCTTCAAGAAAGAGAAGATTAGCACCACCACAATGGACATTACACCGCCCGAAGAATGCAAATACTATTCCTTCAATAAGATGATCACTCCCACCATCATCAAGGACTAAAGCCTGAAGATGCTGCTGCAACTTTTATTTTTTTTGTACCATAATGTGCCTTCTCATCTGACCCTTCTGACCTCCTGACTGTTTATTACACTATCTGCCATATCTCAATAAACGCAAGTTCTTCCGATTCAGATTGCATGTGTTCATTTTTATTACAATTGTTACAAAGGTTTTACCTTTGTGGTTTCAAATTGTTCAATTTTTCAGACCAATGTCTTCTTTTGAGTTATAGGTTTTGTTGGTCACTACAGTTCTGTCACTAAATTATCAGGCCATTAATAAATGTTATTCTTCACAGCAGACTAAAACTACATCAAACCACCAAAAATACATTTACACCCCATCTGTTTGAGGTCTTAAATCACCCAGTATCTGTCAAAAACTCCAGAAAATCTTCCTTGACCTCAATACTTTTACAAATAATGCATAATTGCTCAGCGGCATGCATCAGAAGCAGTGGGGGAACAAATCTCAAAGGTTGTTTACTTAAATAAAAGTAAAAAAACACAACACTCTGACTAACGAAACAAAATATTTTGTTAAAAGCAAAGTCTCAACATTTCTAAATGTTAAAGGTGGTGTAGGTAAGTTTGAGAAACCGGCTCGAGATACACTTTTTGTTATATTCCATGGAATGCTCTTAACATCCCGATAGCAATGAATATCTTAAGTGCTTTGACAAAAAATCCATAAAAAAATTCATCTGTGGAAGCCGTGGTACTGTAAAAAGTAGGACCAATCATTTTTAGCCGACCCGGCTAAAATAACTGGATGGCCTACCTGCCTGTCAGCCTTCCATCTGTGCACAAACTTATCTCGTGCCCTCATTGGTCATGTGCACGTTCCTGTGTGTTGGAGGAGGGGCTCTGTAAGGAAGTGGCAGATTTTCTCCGGCTGTGTATTTTCAAATTCTAGCACACTCAAGCTGGTTTTTCTCCAAAATTACCTACCCCACCTTTAACTTAGAGGTAGAGAAGTAAACTTCCCTTCAATTGTCAAGATAAAAAATATACATGATCAAGTATGTCTCCTACCAAAGTGTTATATTATTATAGATTCTATCACAAACATATATGGGACAGAAATATAGAGAGCAGTCTCTGTGGGAGTTCTTGATACAGTAGGTGTCTCCAAGAGCACACTTTGCCATAATGGTACACAGATTCACAAGCTAAAAAATGTTTTAAATCGCCTTCTTAAATACATTTAAAAAATCTAACGAGCAGTTTAAATGGATTTTCCTTTATTTACATAATTTATTATTTAAGTATTTGGATACTAACAATATGGATACTGCATGCTACACTGTTAAGTAATTGTGTAAGTATTCAATGTATAATGAAAAGCCTTCAATAAAACAATAAGTTGGCTGTAAAATTGTCCACTGAGATGGACACGGGCCGGCACAGCACACGTTTGAATATATGGTTGTAGATAACGGTGCATGTTATCACCGAATACTGGGAATAAGTGACCACCTGGTGCAGACACATTAATCATTAAATGAACGGATGACGCAACTCCAGGATGCAGTCCGGTGGGAAACCACAGCTGGCAGATCTCAAATCTGAATCAGACCAAGTTGAAATGCAAACATTTTTAAAGCAACATATCCAAATGTTCTCTGGATTCAGTTTCTAGAATTTGAAGATTTGCTTATTTTCTTTGGCATGTATTGTTATATGAATATCTTTGAGGATTTTTACTGTTGGCCCTTCTGGTGTAGGAGGAATTAAAAAAAAAACTTTTTTCCCCAATGTTCCCAGATAACACAATATTATACAAGATGACACAAAACAATACAATTAAGAACATTTTAGTTTTTTTATACATTCTTTAGTGCCGAGGTATTTCCATCTTTAGTGGAGGTATTTGACTATGAGTTCAGCCATTTGGGTTTTTGGATCCTCTATGAGATGCAGCTGTTTTTAAAGAACCAATATCTCCATTAAGTTCTCAATTATGGTATTAGCTCATTTGTTACAAATACAGGATATTGTAGTAAATACATGCCAGATCTTTTTTGAGGCAATTCAGAAAGTGTCACCATCATAGAGTTTGTGTGTCACCTCAACGTCCTGCTGAGCCCACATCTCGGTCACAATTCCTTTTGGATTTTTACCAATTGATTGTCTTCTTTTATCCTCTTTAAAAATGTGAATACGAGGTGTTGCTATTTTTTTTTAAATAATGTTTGATAATTTATTCATTATATCACTATTCATCCAGGTATCGGTGCTGGTGACAACAGGAGCCACCTTGTGGTTTGAACTTGGCCTGACTGGTCACAGTGGGAAGAATGACACACAGTATGACAAAATAATGTGTTTTCACGCGAGCCCAGTTTATTCACAACAATATTTAAGATAGAACAGGATAACTTAAACAATTCTATGGTCTTGTTGTATGTTGAGAGATGGCTAAAAAAAAGGAAAACAATAATGTAATTGTTTCAAACTAAAGTGTGGGTTATACACCAACATGATTTCCCTGCAACAGAAACAGTCTCCATAATTAAAACTGAACAAAAGAAGCAGAAAAACTGAGTGACAGCTGCTGTTAGGTTGAAAATAAACAGCAGTGCACCGAGTGTAAATTACAGTAATGATTTTATTGAAGTTAGTTCCTGTAGCTCTACATGGAGGAGGAGCCGCGCTCCAAATGAAACCAGAAATACACCATTTACATACCAGATACAGAGACATATATTACACATTCACTTCCTATACCAGATCTTAATCTTCCTCTCACGTTTGATTTTCTTCTGCAGCTGTAAAGTCCCGTAGAGGAGAGCCTCTGCAGTGGGGGGGCAACCTGAAAACAGAGCAATTCTTATTACTCATACTGACAGCAAGAAAATACCAAGCAGTTTTCATGTACTATATTAGTTATTACAATAAAACAAGTACTGCCATTACTACAAATATTACCAGTATTTATTAATAATTCAATGATTTGGTAATAGATCGACCCCCGCCACTATCAATGATAACAATAATACAGTTGATAGTGCTTCAACTACTACTACTACTACTGAGATAGTTATAAACTTCTGTGTTTTTTAATGAATCTGATCCTACATTTTTGAAGCCACGTCAATACAAATGTTATGTTAGTATTGACTTTGGCGGCCCCTGTCGACAAAAGCAGCAACGCCTCGTGCCGTAAAGATATGCAGCTGCCAGACTCCTTTTAGAAAACCTCTCATTTTACAGCAGCAGGGTCTGACCCTCTGCCCCTCTCACCCCCGTTAAGGTTTCTGGTCACTTGCAGGTCATAAATCGTTGAGCGGATGTTGCAATGGCAGGTATTTAGAATAACTTAGAAAATTGTCATTATTTAGCTGAGAGTCGTGTTTGCTCATGTTGGTCTATCTGTACTGCATTGAGACTGTTTCAAAACTATTTCAGCAAACAAAACAACAAATGTGTGATTGTTGTTCAGAAAAGGATTTCCATAAGATTTTGGAACCTGGTTGCAGAAATCCACAAACGCATCAGTGACAGTGAATGATTTCTGGGCGATGAGGTTGATAAGCAGTAAGTCTTTTATTCCAACCTAAAGATGTTTAAAATTGGTTTGGGTCAGGGCTTTGTGCAGGCCAGTCAACTTCTTCCAAAACAAACTCTTTTCATATTTCTTCACGTGCATTTGTGCACAGGGGCATTTACTGTTCATCATAAAGTGTGTGTTTGATATGCCCTCATTTTAAAGGACAGTTTAAAAAAACTAAACCATTTTGTAGATTTGATCAGTAACATATCGTGCACTAATGTTTACCTGGAACATAAATGTCCACTGGTACAATTCGGTCACATCCTCTGACCACAGAGTAGGAGTAATGGTAGTAGCCTCCTCCGTTAGCACAGCTGGAAAAGCATCATTTTGGAAAACACCGTTAGGTATTGAGACAATTACAGTTAAGGTTCAGACTCTAAACAATAGGTATTTAAAAAGCTATTTAAGTGCAAAAAAAAACATTTAACTTTAAGCACACCATGACAACAATGAAAGATACAAAGATTTCAGGTAAATTCTAGAGACCATAAATCAGAAAGAAGAACACTGGATAAACTAAATCACAGCCAAACTAAACATTAAGGCAGGTGTTGGGGCATAGAATATAATTAGAATTGGGAGGGATGAAACCCTCTTTAATGGTCACACATGCACAGCACACAGCACACAGTGACATTTGGCCTCTGCATTTAACCCATCCTAGTACCAGGAGTCTAGTAATAGGAGCAGTGGGCAGCTATTGTACAGCGCCCAGAGAGCAATGGGAGTGAGGGGGGAAGGGGGGTGTCCAGTGCCTTGATCAAGGGCACCACGGCAGGGCAGGAAGAGGTGAACTGGGACCTCTCCAAGTAGCAGTTCACACTCCATATTTTAGGTCTGGTCGGGGACTTGAACCTACAGCTCCCAGTCCAAGTACTGACTGAGCCACTGCCGGACATGAAGAGTATTCAGTGAGAAAGAGAAGAGAAGACTGCTGTTAGCATACCTTCCCATGGAAATCACGTATCTGGGCACTGGCATCTGGTCGAACACCTGTTGAAAAGAAGACGCACTTCAGTCACTCTTATATAAAGTCTGACTAAGACCTAAATCCGTCCTCTCGGCTGGAGGGAGGCTTCGTGCCAGTCTACCGATCCAGCGACAGGCTGGTCATAATCCAGACGGCAAATAAACAGCTATACTGTTCTCAGAGCACCCGTCATGCAGAAACAGAAGTCTGAGAGAGCTGCAGTGAAAACTGACAATGTCTGAGCAGGAAATCCAGTTTTTGGAAAAGTTTTCCTCCATACCACAGAGCTGAATGAGATCTGAGACAGTGTTTGGGGTCTGCTGTTTGGAGCGTGATAAGTTACACTTATTTCAATATTAAACAGCTGCTATTACGTCCCACCATTTCCCCCTTACCTTCCGCAGAGCAGGAGCCATTTTATTGGTCAGTGTTCCTGCCACGATCATGACATCAGACTGGCGGGGACTTGCTCTGAACACCACTCCGAAGCGATCCATGTCGTAACGAGGCGCCGCCATGTGCATCATCTCCACTGCGCAGCATGCCAGGCCAAAGGTCATAGGCCACAGAGAGCTCTGAAGGATGAGCACAGCAGAGACATCAAGACCAGCAACACAGGTAGAGATGCATTAATATATCAGCTTTAAACGCACAATATGCTATTTCTATCTGCTAGGGTTCCCTCGATTAAAAACAATCAACAAAGACATCTAACTTTGTGGTACACCCCTCAGCAGTAACATCCCAGGTCACGAGACAGAACAACTGCAGACATCAGTCCACTCCACATATGTAGGTGTAAACACTCCCAACATCCTCTCATCTACTCACCCTGCGGGCCCAGTTCATCAGGTCGTCCATCTTGGTGACAACATAGTCCCCCTTGCTGGTGGCTACAGCTGATGGTTTAGCTGCTGCCACTGCCGTGCTCTGCTCTCTGACTGGAACCAAGCTGCAACAGAAGGACAGAATATTTCAACTTTGTACACAGTGTTTACAGAGTAAACATATTTACTCCAGAGTTTCTCTGGTAACTCACCTCGTGGTGGTATTCTCTTTTTTTGCAATGTTGTGCAGACTCCTTTGATGAACAGCAAATACTGAAATGGGCCTGGGGAAAAATGTATAAGCATGTTAATTATAACCTATACATATGTAAAAACAGTCAATGAAATCCCAGTCAGTTTCACAAGAAATGTAATTCTTCAGTGCGATGACAGACACTGTGTGTGATGGACAGATGGGCAGATTTTATATGAGACGATGATTTAGTTTGAGCTCCCTAAACTTGATGCCGCTTTAAAGGATTACCTTGACTGTTCCACACACACAGGCTGAGCTCTCCTGCTGCCAGAAGAAAGACTGCACAGCCCGTAAAGCACAGACAGTGTTTCAGCAATTGCTTTCAAGAGGATTGTTTCCGTTTGTTATTCTCTTCAATGGGAAACAATCTGACCCCTACAGTATCAGTGTAACTTGACCTACTGTGTGATGTGGTAGATATGGATATTTTTGGAGAATATCCCACTTAGCATTAACTGCCTGCAGAGTTTGAATTTAAAGTTAGATCTTTCTTATAGCTGCAGGCAAGCAATTCAAGCTTCTTCTTTTTTTTTTTTTTACCAGAAAACGATATCCACTCCTGTTAAAGTTATAATAATAAAGCAGCTGTAGGACAAGGAGCTGAATTAAATTAAAGGTGAAGATTGAAACAAAGAAAATGTGTGCAAGTTTCTTACCTTGTTGAAAAGCAGCCGAACATGGCCAGACGAGGCGCTGCAAAGATAAAAGCATATCCCAAATTGAATAAATTGTATAAAACAGTGATATAATGCAAATACTTAACATGTTTTAACAGCTGTATTTTTCAATCTTTTTTGTGATCTTGTTTGAACAGTGCATTCAGGTGTAACATTACTAGTTATTTTTGCAGTACTCACTGCTAAATCTGGACATGGTGGTCTCTACTAGAGATTATTGTGCGATCCTCCTCAGAATCATCTTTTACAATTTACAATTCACAATTCAACTGTAAACGATAAGGTTACCCCTTGTTACGCTGTACTCAGTGGCGGCTCTAGAGTATTTTTGTTGGGTAATCTATGGTAGGGCTAACCCATACAGTGGTGGGGCTCAAGTCAGTATTTGCAATGTAATTACATACACGCTATATCGCCACCCTTGACAGTGAAACGCCACGCGTGAGGTTTAGATTATTTCCCTGTCTCAATCCAAATTGAACTGTATGAAATAAAAAGGCACATTAGTCTTGTAGTAAATAAGGAGGGCGACCTGGAGCCAATCCTGCAATTTCCCCTCAGGTAAAAGGCATGCTGAAAACCTAACCCCTGCAGGGGGGTCTGGGGGGATTCTCCCCCAGGAGATTTTTTAAAATACTAACATAAAATACACATTCTGGTACTCTCTTGAGAAGAAAATAAATAAATCTATTTCTACACGACATATTTAAAAAAATGAATGGCATTTTAGTTTTGTGTGACTTTGTTCTGAAAGCTGAACCTGCTGCAGCAGTGCTGCTCCTCACAGAGAGAAGAGGGAAGAGGCTGTGTGAATTACTTTACATTGTGGATAAGGGTGGATAGCCCCCATTGTTCTGTGTGTCAAAATGAAAGACAGCCCACACACCTATCATTCATCAAACCGTGGGGTCTTATTTCATTACGTGTTGATTTCTATCAACACGTAATGTTGTATCGATGTATATAGAGATGTACTACAGCAAAAGTATTCTCCGTCGGGACTTCCTGCAACAACACCACGCCGTTATCGTGATTCTGATTGGCCAGAAGACATTATCAAAGATGTTTTATTGAGAAGACGATCACTACGTGACAAAAGTTTTCAAAACCGTTTCTAGTCTTCGGTATTTCCAGACAAGTGGCTACTGAAATCAATCTCACTAACTGCTGTTAGTCTGTGCAATTTACTCCGCGCGAGTTGGCGGACTTTATTTTGCTTACTTTAACATAATTTTTCATGGTGGGGCTAAGCCATTTCTTGGTATGGCTGTAGCCTACCCCAGCCATACCCTGGGGCCGCCACTGGCTGTACTGTATAATAATACAAAATAATACAGTAGTCAATAACCACAAGAGACCCATTTGTTACTGCTTTAGATGCTGCTAGGCGTGTTTAAGGCACGCCGAATCTGAGAGTAGCCTTGGTGGAAACCTTTAAAACCCTTAAATTATACTTGGCGCAGCATAAGGTTCGCAGAAAATGATGAGAAACCCTGACTGGCTTCAAGGGGAGTTTGTTTTGACCATCGTATCCATTGACGAGGACACGTACTGTGGCTAACGACATGTTTGGCATGGTTGTCCACCCCCAATGTAGATGCAAACGTACTAACATAACTGAAATTGATTGGTTTAAACAATGCGTGTCGTTATATTGTTAGCTAAAGTTAGCTTGCGCTTTGACTGTTACTTGAATGCATCTGGAAATCACGTAAGCGCTAACCCAGTTAGTCGCCATGCTAACGCCGACAGAGCAAGGTCAGTGTGCGCATTCAATAAAGTTACAAATCCGAGTGACGACACAGTCAAAACGGTGAGTAGCGTATTATATATGTTTAGTTGTTTATATACCGTTATTAACATACGCATAGAAACACCGTAATGTTTATTAAAAAACATTTTTGTTAGATCAAAACATCATTTACCTGCTAACGCTGCCATCTTTGGGATTCTGGTTACGTCAGACTGCTTCCTGTATGAGCTCGAGCTACAGAGGGCGCTGCTGTAACAATGACAACCAGTTTATCTAACCACAGAGGGTCATAAGGTTACAGAGCATTACGAGAAATATAGTTCCAATTAGCCTTAATTCTGAGTTTTGTATTCTTTATTTTAAGGGAAATATGGTGGTCATATCTAACCAGTAAATGTAAAGAATATTGACACAATACAATGGCAGAATAAACCTTTACAAATCACCAAGTGTAATATGTAGGCAATTGTAGGTTGGCTGACACACACTGACTACTGACTACTGACTTGTGGCAATGTGACTTTTTAAAGTATGATTTTTAAAATAGATTTTTTTTAAAACATTATGTAAAGATATACATTACAATTGAAACTAAACTGTTAAAATGTAGTATTGTCACTGAATATGTTATGGATTATTTTTTATCTTAATAAGTGTCTCTACAGAGGTGCAGAGGCAGAAAGTGGCTGAACTATTGGCCAATGATTTATGTGAAACATATTTAATAGCCCTTATCAACTCCTTCAAATGATGTAACACATAATAATTGACTTACTTTAAACACCAAATCATATGCAAAGCCTATTTATCTGAACTGACAATTTGCCTTTTAGGGAAGAGCTGTTTTACTTCCTGGAGGGTAATATGTGAACAAATCATTCTCATGAACGGTGCTTATTTTACATAATTTACAAATTAAGTTATTAAGTTAGTCTTTCAAACAACTGGTTCTGTGTTTTCATTTTAGAGGTAAGGACTAGACGGTGACCCATATAATCAAATGGAGCAGCTTTGCTCAACTGGTAGAGCTGCTTTCATGTGTTGTCAAAACAAACACATTTATTTAAGTACACATTACAGACATGTCAGACAGAAAAAAATGTGTATGATGAATAATCCCTACATTACTTAAAACAGTTTTTGTTATAGGTTTTAAAAAACAGACATTTTGTTGACATGAGTGTACTGTCCCTTTATTTAATGGTATTTATTGTTTAACTTTATATAGTTTCTGTACTGTTAACTTTTTATACTGTTTTCATCCATTTTTCACATTTAAACAAATTAATGTTTCACCTTTTTTAGAAAAATCTCACAAGTAAATTAATCAAAATACATTAATAAATTAAATGTGGACAAGTTTCAACAGTAATTTGTAGAGAGAGCTTGTGGGTCGGGTACTTTAAGAGACATTTAAAACAACTTCAGACTTAAATAATAAATCTGACCTGTATGAAAGAAACATTAACATTTAGTTATAAGGAAGTAAAAATGGACGCATTTTGAAGTGCAGAAAGACACTGAAGACACTGTCAGCACTGAGTTTGTTAAAGAAAACGTTTCAGTCGGCCGTGGACCTTCTACTGCGTATGGGAATTAAACCCTTTCTTTCATTGCATTGGTAAAAGCAAATCAATCTTAGCTTTTGAGGCTGACGAATGTTATATGAATTGCCTTTAATTAAAGTAATTTGGAAAGCTTTTAAATCTTCTATTCACTCAATGCTGAAAAGTAAGAGAGTGCAGCCGTCTTTAGCATCGTGTTTTTGTTTTGGCCTTAGTCTATGGCATAAACTTAGCGAGTGGCATCAGCAGCAGTGAGAGCCAGCAGGGTGGAGAAGATGGAGAGCAACCAGAGAACATCGAGAGCATGTTATCACATAATGACAGCCCAGCAATGAAAACACACTGCTGTGTCTCCAGGAATAGCTGCTCAGTCAAACTGGTCAAAGTAAGCGAGGGAACTGAAAACTGTCTGGAAAAGATGAAAAGACGTTTTTACAAATGGCTTTTATTCTGTCTTCATCATGTACACACTTTTTGGACAAGTTAAAATAATAATACAGTCTTACAATAGCAGTTGCTTTTGCCTGTGGTTTTTTAGGTCAAACCAAATTCAGCCATATAAAAAGCAGGGTTTTTAAGTACTTGGAGTTCAAAACATTAAATATAGGCACTGGAATTGCTTAAAAGGACAAAGGTTTTAAGACAACAGTATTGTTCAAAGGCATCCTCCGCCACTAGCAGGGAAAGAGCGTTTGCATTTCAGATAATAAGCATGAATCCACGTTAACAAAATCCTGTATAGGAGGAGCAAAATTACAAGTTAAGCTGTCACAGACTGGGAGGTTATAGTGGCAGCGTGTGGTGCTGTGCTGAGTTGCAGACCACAGGAATGGCCTATTTTAGGAAAAGATCTCCTCCTCTGAAAGAAGAAAGCACAGCTCGACTCCTCACTGAGCGTCCAGGATGTCTGTGGGTAGGATGTCTGGTTTGCCACTCGGGCTCTGTGATGTCTCCCCTGACCAGGAAGAGGGGGTGACCTGATTATAGAGGACGTCCTGAGAGACAAAAAGTGGCTCTTTGAGATTTAGGGTGTACATGAGGAACAGATTGAGAGCCACCATGGCGAAGAGTGGGAAGAAGGTCAGGCCTGATCCGAAGCCTCTCCAGGAGCTGCACGCGTTCAGGCTGACCCAGTAAACCAGCCTGTAGAGGATTAAACAAGACACAGGAAACTAGATCAAGTTCAAACTTCACTGATAAAAATCACAACCGCCCTGACAGTGTTTCATTGAGCATGATTACTAAAGCCTGGCTCACTTCAGCAGAAATGTCTATATCCAGAAATCCTGACCCAGTAACTTCAGTTAATCCACAGATCTTGTTGTGATCAGTTTCATTTTGCAACTATTTTCTTTCTACCAAACTGAACCTGCCAACCATCACATAAGAAAGCGGCTTATACTCATTAGTTTGCAGGCTTCGGTTAGTAGAAGGAAAATAGTCCCTACATGAAACTGCTCACAACAATCTATGGATATCTTTTTAGTAACTGGTTCATGATTTCTGGAGAGAGACATTGTTGAGTTTTTCACACCAAAAAAAGTGTAATTCCAAAATTAAATAGCACTACAGTTGGAGGAAAAATATGTAGTTTTGATCTGGGGTTAGATGCCCCTTTAAGTAACAGTTTCAACACAAAGATTCCCCTGGTCCCCCTTTGAGCCTCACCTCCCGAAGATGAACATGGCGACCAGAATGGGCACCAACTTCAGCTGGTCTTGAGGCAGCAAAGCGGCCATAACGACGAGGTTGAGGACGTAGAGGAGTAACTGTTCCAAAGACGCCGTGACAAACCGCTGGTGCAGAGCCCGTCCTCTGGGAAACGTTTCCTGCAGACTGAAGGAGGCTGTGCAGAACTGGCACACTGCACCCATCAGCATCGCTGCCAGGGACGAAAGAGCAATGAGTCAGTTAGCATCTTGAACAAACGCCATTTTTACAAAAACAACTCCTAGCTGCACTTAATTTCCTCTGACAACATTAGCGGCTTTGTCATTATAATATCTTAATTTGAATACAGCAACTGCCGGCAGAATAGCCTGCATGCAAATCCTCCTTAGTGAAACCAACTTGACAAATGGGTGAGAGGGAAATGACCTGGAGAGGATTTGGTCTGGATGTTTTTTGCCACCTGCCCTCTGGTTTCTGGAAACCCCAGTTGGAAAGTGATTAAAATATTCTGAAACAAGTAGGCCACAGCCTAGGAGAGGAAAGAAGCAGCCAGCCTCTTATTGTAGTTTCCATTTAAAGCTGTGTGCAGGGCAAGGAAATTATGCTTCTCTGCAGAGGCCCGGGGAGACGTCTGCTGCACTGAGGTTAGAAGCACATGAAATTAAAGGGGACAGGAGACATTGAAGCATTCCGAGACGAGGCGGCCAGACAAACCAAATCCTCTCTTAATCTTTATCTCTCATTTGTACCGATCACATGGCTGTTTTTTCAATGTTAGTGTGCTGGTGTGTGAAGCGTACCTAGCAGGATGGGGATGGCGGCCACAACACAGCAGCAGAAGGTGAACACGATGCGGCTGGCTATGTCGGGGCAATCTGGGGCTCTAATGGGGACGTAGAAATAGAGTGCATAGAGGATCCCGGCTGCACACAGAAGAGAGGCCAGGACTGAGAAGAAAGCAGGAACTCGGCCGCTCTGACAGCATTTACACTGGCAGCAGCGGCAGCAGCACTGTCCCCGATCTGAAGCCTCCTCTGCGGCCTCGCAAGTCTCTCCTGGCCCCTCTGAGCTCCACACTGCCAGCTCAACACTCTCTGGCGGGGGGCCTATCAGAGGTTGACCTTCATCAACAGTGCAGTCAAGATTGGTGGATTCTGGGCTCCATCTCGGTGTGTCTGTGCCATTGGGAATGTCTCCCTGAGAGGCCGGGGTTGGAAAGCTGATGCAGTTTTCCGTGGCAGCGTCCAAATTGTGTGCTGTGATAATGGGACTGGAAAGATTTTGATCCAGCTCCCCCTCCTCCTGCTGATCGGCTCCTGGATCCTCTGGGTGGTCGCCATCGGGAGGCTGGTGTCCGGGAGCGGAGCCTGTGCAAAGCAGAGCAGATTTTAATACACAATCCTAAACCATAAGTTAAAATGATAAGATAAGATATGACTTGTTCTCATGCAGTAGTATTGCATACAGCTGCATTCAACGTCAAACAATCTGTAGCCAGAGGCAGACTAAAACATTACAAGAACAAACAATACAAGAAGAAGATATATAAAACAATATTGCCTTGTAAGACCATACAAACAAAGGCATTATATAACACATACTGAGAGCATTTAGCTGCAGACTCACACTAATCAATCACTCCCTTACTGCTTGTCGACCCTGGGTCTCAAGTAACATTTTGGATGGCAGGATTAACCTATTAGGAGGCCCCGGGGCAAAACTGCTGTTGGGCCCCTATTGAGCTGCCCTGCCCCCGTCCGCACTTCCTCCACGTTCCCACAGTTACATGGGACACAAAAACCAACCAGTAGTCCTGCTGAAACATGATCACTAGTTTTTGTGTCAACTAGTTGTGATAATTTGACTAAACATAAACCATTTAAGAGTATGCATCACATAAAGACTATCAGGTAAAGTGAAGCAAGAGCCCTATATCTGAAAAATGACTGAGC